AAGTTACCTAGATTCTGTGAACGTGCCAGTCCTCTAGTAAGCTTTCTTTTTTACCTGTGTTCATCTCCTTCATGCAGGTGACAGAGCATTTCTGCTGCTCTGTTTCTGTACTATTACTATTAAATACAGAACTGAAGACCACACAAAGGAAAACAATTAGCAAATGAACTCATTCTAGTTTTAAAGTGCTTCTATTCTGTAATTTTAAAAGAATTTTGACTAGCTTGGAGAAGCTTTCTGAAAAATAAAAAAGTATTTAGGCCTTGAGATCCCAGCAGCATACTTCATGGACCTTGAGAAAACAATCCAAAAATTCATTTGGAACAAAAAGAGACCCAGAATATCAAAAGCAATTCTAGGTAACAGAGACATGGCAGGGGGTATCACAAGCCCCAGCTTGCAACTCTACTACAAAGCTACTGTGATAAAAACATCATGGTACTGGCAAAGAAACAGACCTGAGGAACAGTGGAACAGATTAGAAGATGCAGAAACAATGCCAGACACACTCAGCCATCTCATCTTCGAAAAGGAGCCAAACAACCTCACTGGATTAAAGATAGCCTCTTTAATAAATGGTGCTGGAAAAATTGGGCTTCAACTTGCCAAAGATTAAAACTAGACCTGTATCTCTCACCATGAACTAAACTAAAATCAAAATGGATTAAAGATCTAAATATTAAAATAGAAACTCTGAATCAGTTGGAACAGAGGTTAGGTAGAATTCTTGAAGACATCGGTGTAGGAAAAGATTTTATGAACAAAACCTCAGTTGCCCATGAACTAGCACAAACAATCCACAAGTGGGATCTCTTCTTATTAAAAGGCTTCTGCACTACAAGAGAAACCACCAGCAGTGTGAAGAGACAACCCACAATGTGGGAAAAAATCTTCACCTGCTCTTCCTCAGACAAAGATCTACTATCTCAAATCTATAAAGAACTTAAAAAGATCAGACCTCCCAAATTTAAAGACCCAATCTGAAAATGGGCATCTGAAATGAACAGACATTTCTCACACAAAGAAGTAGAAATAGCAAATAAATGCATGAAAAAATGTTCAACATCACTGGTCATTCGAGAGATGCAAATGAAAACAATGCTGAGATTCCACCTCACTCCAGAAAGAATGGCTGCTATCATGAAATCAACCAATAACAAATGCTGGTGGGGCTGTGGGGAAAGAGGAACACTGCTCCACTGCTGGTGGGAGTGTAGACTGGTGCAAGCACTGTGGAAATCAGTATGGAGATACCTCAAAGAACTAGGACTGGAAGTCCCATTTGACCCTGCTATTCTACTGCTGGGGAATCTTCCCCAAAGAATTAAAAGAATCATATCACAGTGATATATGTGTGCCCATGTTCATAGCAGCACAGTTTGTGATAGCTAAAACTTGGAAACAGCCCAAATGCCCATCAACTGGAGATTGGATAAAGAAAATGTGTTGTTTTGTTTTTATAAAATGGATTACTACTCAGCCATAAAAAATGAGAAATTAGAGACATTTATAGCTAAGTGGATGCACATTGAGGCCATACTCTTAAGTGAAATAAATAGGACACACATGTGTAAATACCGAATAGTTTCTCTGGTGTGAGAAACTGAAAGTGTAAATAAGGACTAAATGTATAATAGGTAATGTGAAATAGGAAGAAAAGAGGCAAAGGGGAAGGAAGTGGGAGGGCTAGGGGAAAGGATAGAAGGAAGTGGGATTAATATGAGAAAATGGAAAAATAGGAACAAAATCTTTGTAAATAGGGAGGAATGGAGGGGTTGAAGGGAGGCCTGGGAAATGATGAAAAATAAGAACCAAGGGAGATTATGTAAAGGTGCAAATTTCCAATGATGAATGTCATTGTATTGTATACCTAAAATGTACCAATGATTAGAATGAATAATCAATAATCCAAAATAGGAAGAAAAGGTCCAAAGTGGTAGAGGTAGTGGGAGGGGAAGGGGAAAGGAAAGAAGGGAAAGGAAAAATGATGAGAAACGGAAAAACTGGAAATAAAGTCTTTGTAAATAGGGAAGGGTGGAGGGGGTGAAGGGAGGGCTAGGAATGGGGAAAAAATAAGAACAAAAAAAGTATTTAGGCCTAGATAAAAGAACTCAGCTATCTTCTTCAGACTTTTACAATATGTTATAGATGGGTTTTATATGTTCAATTCAAATAGTAGTAATGCTAATAGTAATAAAATAATTGCTAGTACTAATACCTTTCTAAACTCTGGGAACTATTCTAAATGCTTTGCATGTAATAACTCATTTAATTCTTGCAACACCCTAAGGAAGTAGGTACTATAATTATCTGAATTTACAGAAAAAAGAAACTGAAGTAGAGTGAGATTGGGGGGTGGTTCCCCAGTTCCTAAAGCCTAGTTGCAGATCCTGGATTTAAACCCAGGCAATCTGACTCCAGCACTGACTACTAAGAGTCATTTAATGAGAATTGCTAAGTTACATATATGTCTAACAGTTTCCAGAAATTGCCTTTGTTTGTTTTATGGCACTAGAGATTGACTCCACAGAGCACTGAGATATATAACCAGCCTTTTTATTTAATGTATTTTTTATTTTTAGACAGGACCTCACTAAATTGCCCAGGCAGGCCTCAGACTTCCAATCCTTCTGCCTCAGTCTTTCAAGTAGCTGAGATTACAGACGTGCACCCAGCTAGCAGTGTTTTTAAAGTGTACAATTGCACTGGAAATCTATCCATCTAAAAGGCTAACATCAAATATGAATGGACCATAGTCATTCAGCTTTACATACTGAGTTTTTACCAAGGCCTCACCTCGTCAAGCTGATACAAGAATGGGATTTTAGCAAAACTAGATGTTATAACATATTTGGAAACACTGCTTATATTTGCATCACTTTAAAAGCTCATTACCAACTAAGAAAAAAATGAAATACTTGACATTTTGCTATCTGTGATATTAAAAAGAACTAATATTTAATATTCAAAGTGGCAACAGCTTCTAGAGTTTGCATACAACACCCACAGGGATCGATTTTTTTTTAAACAGCCTTTAGGAGTCAGCCTTTTAGGCAGCTGACACCTCCATTCTCTGCATCCCTCTTTCTTGCCAGCACCATGGAACACACGCAGAGTGCAGCAGCAGACATATAATTCTTCACTGCAGGATTTGTCTTTGCAAATAATGGAGAACATGGGAAAGGACGAAAAATTTCCACTGAATCAACCTCAGTGTAATCTCTACTTCTAAAACTGAATCAATATCTTTTGAGGGCTTTTTCCCATATGCCCTTTCAGTCCCCTCTATGTGCCATCCATGAGCAGAGAGGGGCATCATCATCACCTGATTGATCATCACTCGTTCCACACCTGTACCGAGGCCGCATGATGACAAGTATACTGCTGCCTGGCATTTTTCCAGTGTGACTAATTGTCACAGTACTAATTTACTCACCTGTAGAATTTTCAGCCGCCCCAGTCTGCTGTCAAGAAGATACATAATAATGGAATAAAGGTTTTAAAATGCTGAATACTGCAAAATCTTTCACTTATCTTCCAACAGAAATTTTTCACTAAGCCACATGTTAGAGGACTATAATTATTCATTGCTGGGGGTAAAAAACAGAAATCCTGGTCACATATACCTGTATGCAATAGAATAATAGGAATCAAGTGAACCAATATTTCCTGACATAGAGAAAAAAATTACTGATCTGATTACCTAAAACATGCTCACCTGTGTGGCTTAGAGTGAATGCACTAATCACTGTTGTGTTCTACATTTTAAAACACTTCTTTGTAATTGTTGTTGTTGATTTTATTCAAAGAAATACTTCCCTACATCAAATACTAAAATAAAGGAGTCATTTGTTGAGGTTTGGTTTTGTTTTTTTCAAGAAATGTGGAAATGTAGGCATATAAGACTTTAATTGCATAAGCTAGCAAACCAAGTTGGGACATCTTTGCCAAGCTGTCTGGCTCCAGGATATTTTAAATGGTAGGTTGTGTTCTTGAAAATTAATATTTGCCATGGAAAATTATTACCCCCATGTATAATAGCTGACTTTCCTGGAGATCTGCAGTCAGTGGCCCTCACCGTGATACTGAGATGATAATGTTCCATGTATCTGTGAAGACTGCACAGAGATTGTGTGACAGTTTTAGCATAGATGCTGGATTGTTTATGATGCAAGTGAAATTCAACTATCAAATTCCAAGGATTGTCTAAAGAAATTTGAATAGAATTGCTCATTTAATTCTATAGACTTAAATATAAATTCTGTGAGTGTTCATTGACCCACCCTAGAGTGTGAGGGGATTTCATATGAGGATAAGTTTTCTGGTCAACTTTGGAGAATGCTGGAATGAATAAAGGTTTATTACTATCATTCCAAACTATCACTCCTGAAACTCCAATATGCTAATCTGCATTCCAAAGAGAAGGTGCAAGGTCTTTTCCAGCCTTATATGACCCAGCAGCCTGCTCCATCCCAGCACAACTCTGCAGCCAAGCTCTGCAGAGTAAGCTCGGCCCTGCCTCATGCCTGGCACATCCGCGGTGCTCATCATATTCCAGCGAGATTTCAGCATTATCCACTTTCGATGGAATTTAAATTGTCTGAGATATCCTTCGCATTAGACTTGTGCGTGAGGATAAGTATGCAAATAGAATCAGAAACACAAACTCGTTTCTTCTAACCAGATCTCAGCCCGCATATTTCAAGGTAAAAGAGTAGTGAAATAATCCATTCTGGCACGTTGACCTATAACAATGCTATTACTTAAAATAGGAATTTTTTAAGTGATAGAAAAGGAGAAAAGGAAAACGGTGTCTTCCTACTAGGCACATGTCTTCCATTTAGCATATCTAAAAGAACATTTTCCTCATTTCAAAATTGATAGCCAACTTTTTGTTGTTTTGCTATTCAAATTTCTGTCCTCTTTTTTCCAGCCTATTTGCTTTAACACTGAATTTTAAGCATCTCTAAAAATGCTTGATATGTTATTATTCTTTCCAGATATCCTCTGAGAGCCAAGCAGAGAACATTAAGGAAGGAGGAAGGAATGAAGCTGGAAACAGTGCAGTGAGCAGAGCCACTTGAAGGGGAGGGGAACTGCGAACTAGAGACTCCGGAGCCGTCAGCATGAGAACTTACCGGTATTTCTTGCTGCTCTTTTGGGTGGGTCAGCCCTACCCAACTTTCTCAGCTCCATTATCTAAGAGGACTAGTGGTTTCCCGGCAAAGAAAAGGGCCCTGGAGCTCTCAGGAAACAGCAAAAATGAGCTGAACCGTTCAAAAAGGAGTTGGATGTGGAACCAATTCTTTCTCCTGGAGGAATACACGGGATCGGATTATCAGTATGTGGGCAAGGTAGGATTCCTTGGGCACTTGGACATTCTAGGTTTAAAAGCCTGAAGAAGTTACTTCTAATAAGTAGACAGGGAGGATGTGAACTATTCCTCAATACAGTAAAAATTGTTGCTTATCTGTACGACTTTGTTTTTCCCCTTGAATAGTTTTGGGAAGAAAATTGTAGCAAGAAGCTGAGAAAGGTTAGCAGTACAACAAAGAAAGAGAAAATGCTCGGAAAATGAACACCCACAACCATCTGCATGGGATTATCATAAATCCTTTAATTTTTACTTTAGCTTGAAAAACAGGGTCCAGCTCTTCTATAAAGTAGGGTGCATTAAAAGCAGGAATACAGAGATTATGCTGTATAGGAAGGAAGATGGCTTGTTCTCATTCTGAAAGCAAACATTCTGAGCTTGAGTTCTTTGGCTAAATTCAGATTAACTGTTTCTTTACTCTGCTACCTCCGACACCGTTCTCTGACCAAAGCCCTTTGTTGGCAAAACCCAGCTCTGTGGGTTAGATTTGGTGGTTGCTGCTGCTGTTAAGTCTGATCGCTGGTAATTGCCAAGAACCAGGTGTTTTAAATTCTTATGGTTTAATTACAGCAAGATTGACAAAAAGAGAAAATGGTTACGTAAAGGCGCTATTTCTGAGTAGCATCTGACCATTTTATTGACTTTAGAAAGTAAAGCGAGGAGGAAGGGCTTATTATAGCCCTTACAGATTTCTGGAGCTGAGTCAGAGAGGCAGCCCTGTCCAACTGTAACCAAGAGTATCCCCCGAGATTGCATCATCAGAAACTTCTTGTTGCAAAATATCTGCATACTGCAAAGGTGTAAAAGAAAAGCCAGAGCAGATTCTGCATTTCATAAGGTGGCACTGGTAAAGAAAAATTACTGTCACACATCCTTTACATAAACAGGGAATGAACATAAAATACAGATAATAAAGTGTCTGCCTTCATCATCACAGGTCCGATTTTTAAAACACCTATATTAGGGTCTCACGCAAATAATATGAATTTTGCAGATTCCAGGGGCTCATGTTCACACTTCAATCTTGATCAAATATCCCTGAATAACTGCGTGCAAATGTTCTCTTTAAGTATTTACTCCTATAAATGAAGGAAAGCCAACCATGGCTTCAGCTGAGGTAACCAGGCAAAGTTCCAGGGCAGTGAATTATTAATGTGGAATAAAGTAGGAGAGGAAATCTTCAGTGAAGGGGTGAACATCAACACAGATCCCCCAAGGATCCAGCCACGTATTTGCTGTGAAACACACTGTGTGACTACCGAAGAGAGATAGTTCCCTCACTTGTACTTCATTTCCTTTGTGAAACTTGAATAACACTGCGTTAATAGGACGATGATTCCTTTTTAAAATCTTAAACTCTCTAAAGCACTTTTTACAACCCAAATAGCATTATTGCTATAGAAGTTTAAGTTTTTAAAAAGTGCTTTCTCTAAGTGACTGATCCCCAACCCCCGTTTTTTTTTTCCTTTCTGCTTCTCTTCTCAAATTGTGATGCCATTTTACATTAAAATACTACAGATTCTTAGAGAATGTCCAGGAAATTTCATAGTACAGGAAGCATCAGTAAATAAAACTGCACAAAAAAATCAGTTTTTCAATTATAATTATGAGAGATAAAATTGCCATGGGGAGGAGTTGCAAGCTGTGGGCCCGAGCAGATCTAAGGATGTATCACTGCCTTGCCAATTGCCAGGTACATGCCCCTGGACAGTTATTAACCTTTCTAGCCTTTAGTTTCTGCATCTAGAAAAGGTACACAGCAATGCCTACCTCTGGAGTGGCGGGGTATTTTCAATGAGACAGTCACTGGTGGTTGACACATAGTAAGCACGTAAAGAAGTCACTGTTGGCCGGGGATTTAGCTCAGTGCTGCCTACCTGCCTCGCAAGAGAAAGGTCCTGAGTTCAATCCTGGTACCAGAAAAAAAAAAAAAAAAAAAGAAGTCACTGTTATTGGTGAAAGCCCACTGTATGCATTCTATTAAATCTATGTGCCATGCATGGAAATGGAATACTGACTTGATATTGTCTTATATCACTGTGGGAGTGAAATGGGGTCATTAACACATCTCAGAGGTTAGAAAATGTAGAGGATCACGGCAGAACCCTTTCACAGCCACAGCTTTGCCCAGACTCATTGGATTTGGGACAATTATTGTCAGCTAGATAAATTTCCCTGCCTCATCATCATCTGCCCTCTCGAGTTGCCCTTCCTTCTCCATGAAGTTATAACACATAAGAGAAAAAGCTGGAGAAAAAACATCAAGGGCAATAACTGAAGTTACAGCTGCCAGCACTGCTCTATGAGATGGGTATAAGAGGCGTTCTTGAACTGTTCAGACAGCATTTTCCCAAATCTGTCTTTGAAGACAAATTTTGACTATAATTAAAAATATTTAAAAGAAAAATAAATTTAGGGAAAAAAGAGAGGGGTTGTCCCTTATTGGTGGCACTAAGTTGACCTACCTTTAACTGACTTGGAATGCATCGGGCACCTGGTGTGATTAGCCAGATGCGCCGGATGAGACAACTTGAGGGGAAAAAAGATTAAACTAAAGTGGAGGTTCTGAAACTTTCTCAGTTCCCAAAGCTCTTTTTCATAGCTTGCAACTTAGTACTGTAATCATTTGAAAAAAATCATACACAAAAGTTGACAGGGAAAAAAATTTATTCCACTCTTAAATAACCACAATTATTTACGCGTGGAATATGTATATCTTCTGAACATTGTACAGCTTCTCAATCAGATCAGATACCGCGCCCCCTTGTTTAGTCTTCCACACTGACTTTTGCATTGTAGTTGTTTTTTATCGCCGCCACCGTGGGAAAGTGTTGTAACTATGACATCATCAAAAGGAATGCAGCGCCACCTACTGTAGGAACTGTGAATTCCCTTGAGCTAGTAATTCACATAGGGGCTGAAGGTCACATGTTGCTGTAGGTTCCGCGAAATTTTAGAGTACAGTACTTCCTGGTGAATTTCTCGCTGTACCCTGGACTGCCTCCATGCACACTCTGGAAACCATGAGACTATATTTAGATTGCTATATAAAGGTATACAAAGGCTACAAGAATCTTAAATCGTGCTACTAGCCCTACCAAATAATTACTCAGAACCTAACAATGGTAGCCTTAAAACTGAAAAAACTGATCTGATCTGCACGTGAAAAGATAGAAGCGTTGACTGAGAAAAAGTAATGCTGTTGAGCAAATAGTGCTTAAAGCTGAAGAAAAATATTTTTCATTATACACGTTTATATTTGTTGATTTTCTCAAATTATTTTGGGATCATAGTGACATCCGAGACTATGATGGAAAATGGGATAAAATTGAGAGTAGGGAGCTAAGGGCTTTCATGTGTAGAAGGAAAAGGAAAGGGAGGGTCACAGGAGGTCACAAGACCCAAAGAGGGAGTCTTGGGGCTGCAGCAGTAAGAAAATGAGTAGGCAAGGTCGAACTCTGAAACTGCACCACAAGCAGTGGCAGTGAGACCTTCCTCCTCTTCTGGTCTTAATCCTTGTCACCTTCCACTGAATTCTTTCTACCGCCAGTGAGATTAATGCAGAGAGTTGGAATGTGCTCTTTGATACTAAAAGTGGTAAAGGCCAGAAGCACTGACTAACCAGGTTCTGATTTATAAGACAATCTCAACAATTTTACACCGAAAATAGTGATGGCAGGTAGGAGTAAAAAGCTAGAAGAAGTAGTCCTGTGTTGGCTAAGTTTATGAGCTTAAGATATAAATGTAGGTGGCACAGAAACAGCTGTGATTTTTTCCTAAAATGTATGACCATTTGGGGACAGTTTGAGTTGTTTTGGCATCAGCAGCATCCATGAGAGCTTGCTGGAAGCGGAACCTCAGTCCTCCCCTCAAATCTTACTGAATCAAAATCTGCATTTTAACTAGATCCCCAGGTGAACTATTTGCACATTAAAATTTGAGAAACGCTGCTTTTAAAAATAACTTACTTAGGTCTTACCACCCCAGAGATCTTGATTTAGTTGGTTTCTAATTAAGTATTGATGATTCTAATCTGTTGCAAAATCTAAGACCCACAGCCCTAGGAGGATAGTATTGCCAATCACGATAATAAAATGCAGCGGGTTTAGTGATAAAGATGGGCAGCCACAAAGTATAGTGGAAATATGAAGAAGAGCGGGCAACCGGGCTCTGGGGTTCCACAGAGCTTCTTAGAAGAGGTGATGATGTTTGAACCCCACCTTAAAGGCAGAGCAGGTATTAGTTCTCACTCCAGAGGGAGAACTCCCAGGACCTCCCAGTTGATAGACTGTAGAAGCCAAAGAAGAGAAATACTTAGAGATTTAGATATTGAACAAACCACAGTAGTGAAACTGTTACTACTGATATAGAAAACACAAAACAAAATATGTGTTTTCTTGTCACAGGGTAAAGGAAAATGTGATTTTGTGTAGAGTCCACTTGGGTTATCTCTGGCTTATGTAAACTTAATAGAAGCATTGGAAGGAAGTATTGTAATACCACATTTTCAGAAATTCCAGTACCTCTCCAGCCAGCTTGGCATAATACACTTGATCTTAGCCAAAAGGCCGAGAAGTGATTCAGCTTTGCATAATATAGAAATTCTTTGATGATGATGATGATGATGATGATGATGATGATGAGTAGTCTAAGATTATGTTTCATACAAAAAGAAGAACATAGATAGCCATAGATACAGATTAGATTTTTGAATATGCGGGCATTCATTAATACAAAGATGAATATATTAGAATCTCAGAATTAGGCCCAGTTTTAGGCAAAAGTTTCACACATTACTATTAAACAGCTCTCGGCAAAGTCTTCTCCACTTTATCTTCCATGATGTTTTTTATCCCTTCCTTCTATACAATGTACACATAAGACAAATCTCCATTAGAACCATTTGACATGTTTTATTTTTAGTAGCATATCAGGAGATCTCTTTTTATGCAATTTAATAAACTGTATAGTTTTACAGGT